TGCAGTAAAAAGTATCCTATATGTTGACCTGGATAACCAGCTACCATCATACCAAATTTCATCAAAATCCCTCCAGTGGTTTTTCCGTGATGCGGTAACAGACAGACAGACAGACAAAAATTCTAAAAACTATAGATTCGGCCTCTGTATCGATAATAATGTCTATTGCAATAAAAAAACTATAGATTCGGCCTCTGTATCGATAATAATGTCGATAACATAATATTTCGATAACATTTTCCAAAAAAATATTTAATGTACAGATTCGACTTAGTTAGAATTTTATTATATGTATAGATTTAATCTTTAATCCGATTTGAAAAATTCTTTTTGCATTAGATAGTCCGTTTATTGAGGCTGTAGGCCATAATCTGTAATCATCCCGGAAAAATATACCGTTCCCGTGGGATAGATTTGTTTTTGTCTAGAGACAAATCTGAGGCGAAGCAAGTGCGAGTCGCTAGTAATCTAGTATTCTAATGCATCCGGCTGTAACGTCAATGTAAAATGTAAATACAGGTCACGCAACGGATTAGAACAGTAATGAACTAACCAAAAGTACAATTTTCTATTTGAATATCATTACATACATAATATGTAAATAAAATACAGAATATATATCAAATAAATTACACAAAAAAATCAAAATATCGACGAAATTATTATAATTAAATAAATATAAATAGATATATTTATTTATATTATACATAATTAAATTAGAAATGTAAAAACTTATTTTTACGCGTACCATCTCATACACATACATGGGTTATGTGGAACGTAGAACTCCTAAACTAAAGCAAAATATGTACTGTCAAGGTGTGTCAAACTGCAGTCTTGATATATTGTAAACCAAAGATACATAATATGTTACGTTCATAGTAATAAATAAATAGCTATCAACGCGTATGGGCAGGAGGACAAAAATCTCCATCCATAGGTTTTTATGTTAGACTAGCATTGCCCGCGGCTCCGCCCGCGTTCAGATGACTAAAATTTGCCATTGCCAAGTGTGGGTTGGCCACTTCACATGTCTTTCGAAAACTCGCTAGTTCTAAACATGCAGGTTTCCTCACCATGATTTTCCTTCACCGTAATTCAAAAGGTAATCTAGTTAGAAATGATTAGCACATGAAAATATCAGAGATGCGAGACCCGGGATTTGAACCCGCTTCACTCGTTTTCCCAAAATAGTTTAATGTTAAGATACAGATGCGATTTCTTAGAAACAATTCTTAGTCTGGTTGATAAAAATGAAATGACAAAATAACTTATATTCATTTATTGTATTATACATATTCCGCTGCTAGTGCGGCTCAACAACACACGTACACTTTAAGCTTTGGATAGATTGCATTCTACGAGTGTCGATAGAAAGCAATCCATGGTTAACAAAAATATATATTTCGTCTATATATGGAGTACATGTATCTTAGAATGAGATTATATAAGACCTCGAGAGAACCGTATAACATCTAAGCTAAGTAAAAATTGCTTTAAATTTCTAACTTATTTATCTAACAGAAGAGAAACCACTACCTAAGCGTAAAATTAGACACCTATTCAAAAGGGCTACTGATTGGATATATATACTATATTATTTAAATTATCGATCCGTCATATCATCTTTTAAATTGAGACGTTAAAAACTTGAGTATCTTTATGAGGACAGATCAAAAATTCAACGACATTATGCATGTAGTTAACCTTTCTTTGCATTTGCAAACAGTTATACAATCTAATGTCTGCAAATTATTTTTAACGATACATAGTGTTCGCAAATGTAAAGAATACACAGGTCGTTATAAATAGTAGGTTTTAGTATTGTCATTGGAATATATTTAATATAGTAATTTTGATACTGGTATCCCTAAGTTAAAAAAATAATGTACTTTAGAAGGCTGGTGATGGACCCTATGATGAAATCAAAAATAAATTAAAAAAAAAAACAAAAATACAGACTTAATCATTTTATTTATTTCATAAATAAACTAAATTGGATATCTATAGGCATGACAGCTAGCAAATAGCAAAGGTTATTTACACAAAAAATATCGATTAGAATGCTCGAATTAATGTACAACTTAACGATTTTTATGAGTAAAATAAAATTAAAAAAAAAAGAATATTTCTTAAAATAATATAAAATCAAATCGTCCCTACTTCATCCAGCGAATCCCACTATCTAAAACGTATCAGTCGAATCCACTAAAAATCACAGTATAAATTAACTACTAGCATTAAAAGTTCGGTTGTCAATTTGATTAACCATAATATTTTTCAATAATTCGGTTGTCATCGTTATAACTTGAACTTGTTAATATTGTTTAACGTAGAAACATGGCGAACGATATTATTACCATATTTTCTAAAACAACCAAAACAAAAAAAAACCACATTCGGTTAACCAAACCCACAACCGGTCTCCTAATACCAACTAATTAAATGATGTATGGCTGAGAGATATTCAACGACAAGTGGCAAGTCGATTCGAAACGACAAATATAACGGGGGACACTTATTGCACGATGTCTACCAATTCAAAACGACAGATCCCATACAGAAAATGATATTATATACCATTAAATTTTTATATCCAAACAAACTATTCATATGCTAAATATAATTATTATGTTGCTTTATAAGACAATTTTAGTCGAAAACATGAACCTAAAGGCTAAAACTTAACACATAAAAGTGACTTTGTTTTCAACGTATCAATCGTTCAAGCGAAATATTATTATTATACACTAAGAATAGTGCCATATATCCACCGTTCAAATTATTTAAATAAAAAAAAAATAGCTTATTTCAACGATTTCATGTCATTGAAAGCAGCAAAATAATTAATTTACAAGACTATTATATACAGAAATTATCATTTATACTGAGGGTTTTATAACATTATGTACTATATATTTAACATTGATTATTTAGTTATTTAAACAGCTACACAATATAATTTTACGTGGCCCTAAATCAATTAAGCATACACTAGGATTGCCATTTAAAAATCACATTCTCTACCCAAAATTTTATACAACTACTAAAATGGTAAATAATAAAATTTAAATGGCAACATTTGAATACAATCGTTTTAATGGAAAAGCACGCAAAAGGAAAGATAAATGTTAATACTTTGACATTTTGGCAGTCTTATGAAAGCAAATATCACACGATGAATATTTTAAATACGACAATTAAATTTTTTCATGGTAAATAATTTCAAATTATTAAAATACGCTGAAAATTTCCCTTGTTAAGACGCAATAATGAAAAAGTCAATAATAATAATTTAATTATATAAATAAATAAAAAAAATCAAACATTGTAAAAGAACATAATATAATACAAATAAATCATGCTAAAAATGTAGTACAATCGATTAAAATGAGCGATTTTATCGAAATAGAAAATAAAACCTGGCAACACAGAAAAGCACCTAGTTAGTCCACATACGACAGCCATTTTGTAAAATATACACCCGTAATATCTAATTCATAACAATTTAATCCAAGTAACTATACATTCATATCTGTAAAGAATGCCACATTTTTTTATGTATCAAACAAAATCTAAAACATATATATAAAAGAACACAAGGCATACGATTGATAGACATAATGTATAATATTAATTAAATTATATTATTTATAGCATCCTTTACATTTCTCAAACATGAAAAGATAACTTCCAAACATCCAACAAAGAAATTCGCGACTTTCATAAGTGCAATTTATATTAATACATATAATTCTATATAGATATATGACGATTACATTTCCAATATATTGAAATCAAACGCTTTATCCGTTGTCGATCCCAAATCATAAATGCTGACTATGAGAGAAGGTAGGAATGAAAGCTATAGGCTAATGTTATGCTAAAAACCGCCGCATAGTAGAGATTTTTTTTTTACCAAAAAAAAAAACAAATCTGTAAAAATCTCTTATAACATACACAATATGTTTAATAGCGTTTAATTACAGTTAAAAACTACTGTATGCGGCGATCCTAACTGTACTTTGGACCAAATTGACAAATCCAATGCACTTCAAACATTTTCTAGGCCCAATTATACAGATAGCATAAAACTGAAGTTAATTACACAAATTTTGTACATATATGGAATGTGATGTGTCGATTTTTTTGTAGGCAAAAAAAAAAAATTTATCGCTACGCACCGTTTCATAAGAATTTATTTAAATTATTATTAATAAGAAGATGGCTTTACTACAATTGAAAAATTGTCTACTAAAGTAATAGAGAAGGTTCAATAGACTTAAGGGTAACTTAAAATTTAAAGCAAAATATATTTCATTATTATATTATTATTTGGGCTCAGCCGCGAATGTGACATTTCAAATGTCATTAATTAGATGATCGATGAACAAAGTTTAAATTTAACAAAATCTATTATGGAAAAAAAAAACTAAACTACCTACCTGGTTCACACGTCAGCGTTACGATAGCCAAGGAACCATGAAGCATACCGTATCTTACTAATGTATATACATGTGCAGAACATAATAGATCTTATTAATAAACATATAAGTTATAACTTTGAGATAGTTAAAAATTTAATCTCAGTTAAGTTAAACCGTGATTAGAACGTTTATTATTAAGATCATACAGATCACTGGTTATCTTCTGGTATTAAGTAAAAATACTATCGAGACCGGATTGATATAGAAAGTTGAGCAAAATTAAAAAAAAATGTTGCCAACACTCATGGTTAGTTTAAATACAAAAATTAAAATTTCCACTTGTGTAGTATTCTAAAAACTCTACATCACACATCATATAATAATAATAATAAATCTATATATTGTGCATATAATTAAAAATAAAATATCCCATCAATCAAAAATTTTAGTACAGACAGCAACATAATACTGTAATTACAAATTCTTAATCGTTACCATCTAGACCATAAATATCAATCCGATTTCGATCAAACTAAATCATTAACCGTAGTTTAAACGGTAGTTTAACATTTAACTGAACTGATTAGTAGGTTGTGGTGGTACAGGTGGCCGCATGGGGGGCATACCGCCCATGGGCATCATGGGGCTCGCATTCATTACCATGGGCGGCTGTTGCTGTAAATTAAGTGAAATTCATACTTAAATATACTTTTATACTCAATAATAATTAATATAATCGTAAAATAAAAATTTAATAGAATTTATATACAAAAATTTTCAATATCTATTTCTGTGAATAATAATAATAACGGGTTTTAAAAGAGGTCAAGAAGGATAGCATTATTAATTAATTATATATTTATTATTTTAAATTAGTCACAACACGAGTTTTTTTTTAATTTGCTCAGTTTAAACATATTTCGTAAATTAAAAAAAAATATATTAAACAGTGAAAAATATAAAGGGAACTCAAGCCAAGAAATTGAAAACCATTCAATGACTATAGTTCAGTTTTAAACACAATGAATTATATGGGATAAAATGATGGTGGCCATGCGACACACACGTGCAATGGCATTCAAAAAATACTTTACCTGTTAAGAAGACCTGTGCTTAAAAATTAAAAAAAGTTATCATAATTCATATTTTTTTTAATCAAAAACTGTCATTCATTTTTTTCCTAAAAAAAAAACAATTACTTTGTTTTTCATTGACATTTTGGAAACAAAAAGGCCTTCTGCCACAATCCTGCCAACAATCTACTAGGAAACACAGGTTATAGGTAAAAATATAAAAAAAAAACAAAATAGCAACTTACCAGAACAAAATGCGAGGGGTGATACGTGTGGGGAAATGTATGGGGCATTGGTGGCAGAGTCATGCCGGGACCCTGGAAAACGCAAAATAAAAGGGAACCTGCATGCTAAAGGATAAAAAAAATAACAATGAAAGCAAAAGGACAGAACTAGCTTTTGTAACGAAAGATAGGAAGCGGAGCGACGACTTCGAACATTGCGGACAGGATAGTATTCAATGAAAGTAGAACTAGACTCACATTTTCCATGTTTTTAGTTTAATTAGAGGTTATTTAATTAATTATATTTACAATAACTTAATTTTTCCTACTACCCACAAAATTTTCATATAAATAAATATCTATTCACTAGTTAGAACTCACGCTCGTTTTTATCCATCTCCTACTATTCGATAAAACCTATGATACATATTATTTTTAAGTCAAAAAAAAATACAAAAAAAGAAATATTTATTTTCCTTGTTTGTAGTATATAGTAAGATGTACTCATAAACTTTCAACATATCTATTCTCTTACTTGAAAAAAAACTATTTTTTATATAATTCCTGCCAATTTTTGACAATTTTTTTTTTCAATTATCAATGGCATAAAACTCCCTAAAACTTACCATAGGGCGGTATCCAGCGCCGGTGGTCGCCTGCATCGGCTGCGGACTCCACGCGGCGGGCTTCGCGTTCTTCGGCGAACTCCACTGCATCGGTCTAGCACGGGACAAGCATGCGTGCGATTCAGATGTTTTTGTGGATTTTCCGTTAATGTATTTAATTTAAGAATATTATAATATTTATCCCAAAATATGTTGAAACCATAAATTTATCCGTACGATTTAAATAGATTTAGAAATATTATGGAAAAGTTTAAAATTATTTTGGTAACGTGTTTAATTAACATTTAGCGATATTTTTTTTCATATTTTTTGATTTTAAAAAGTTAAAACATTATACAACAGTATTCTTATATATTTTCTTATCGTTTTTTTGCACTTTTTCTTTCTGTTCCGCTACTCAACACTATTTCCCACATACATAGGTTGACTGGAAGAGATCTCTTATAGAGGTAAGTCCACCTTTGTCCACATCATTTTCTATTTATTTTTTTATTACTTTATAAAAAATAAAGAAACAACTAATATTGTTTGATTTTAGGTTTGATAATTAATAGTGTATAATGTATTTTTAATAGAGTGCAGATATACTGATAATATCTTGTGAAGTTTCAGATTTTTTACATAGTTCCTATGATTTAAACAAATTTTGGACATAGAATCGAAACATTTTTTAAAAATCCACTCCTAAAACATCTGAACTAAACTAAAAAAACACTCGTGAAAGCATCTACATACGTTTATCCCGTTTTTAACTACGTTGGTTAAAATTTCAAACTGAGTCTACCTTAAATCTACTTTTTACATTGCTTTAGACACATCTGACTACAAGTTCCATTCGTGTTTAAATATGAGATGATATGATTCTATGCTACATTAAAAAAATCGGAAAAAAATTTTTTTTTTTTCATACAAAAAATATTATTTTCTCTTACATGTCGATGCTTCCACCAATATTGGTGATAATAGGCTTATTAAATTAATTCTATATAAATTATCTGTATGATTTTTTTTCAAACAAAATGGCCACGATCACATCACTTGACGATGATTCAAAATTTCCATATCAAAAAAATCTAGCTACTAAATATATTAAAATTTGAAGTAAATTTTGGCATATTCTTAGAACATACAAATTCTGAGAACATTACAAATTTTAAAAGCTAAGAATCATAAATTGTATAAACATTTTCTATATATTCTTATACGAAATGAAATTAGTTTATACATTTTTTAGGATTCTTGTAAAATGAGCTCTATACTACAAACAATAAGGGTGAATTTTCGTCTTACTTTTGAGCTGTGGCGGTTTTGTTGATAGTAAGATTGTTCGCGAGTTGAGCGAGAGATGAATCTAAGTCACCGGTCAAGACTTTACTCGGTTGCGGTGGCTGTTGGGGTTGTTGACCTAGAATTTCCAGAAAAAATAGAATAAAAAAACTAAATAAAAGATTTTTATCTATAATTCTAGATATTACAGCACTAATAAAAATATATTAAACGTATAATATAAAAATAGGAATACATAAATGATAGTGAATAGCAATAGAATGGTACATCAAAACGCTTAAAAAATAATCAGTTAAAATAAAGATATAACAAAAACACAAACTAAGCTGTTCCAAAATATCATCAATAATTCACATGTCATGCTGAGTTTGGCGATAAATCAACTATATGTATGTACTCACAATTAAATCAATGAATGATTCGAAAAAAATCCCATTCATTGAAAAATACACAAAAAATCCTTGCACAGATAAAAAATGTAACAACGCTGAAATTATATGCATTATATATATAAAAATAAAGTTACTTACAACATGTTTCGCAAAAATCATTAACATAATATGTACAGATAACACCAATCAATGTTAATAATGGCAGTGAGAGTAACGCAGTGCTACAACTATACTATGCGGATTTCGCTAAGCGCGTGCCCTGGAAACGATTTGAAGCTTACTGGCCACTGACAATAAGTACTATTTATGATAAGGGACTAATATAAATTTTAATTATTTATTTCAAAAAAAAAACAATTTTTCCAATAAAAAAAACATTAGCTGTCAAACTTATTACATAGCAAAAAAAAAAGAAACAACAACTCGACAAATTAAAAAAAGCCGAAAAAAATTAGTCCCTTACACAAAAAAAACAACAACACAATCTAAACACAAATCGAACCCATTGCCATCATCGGTTGTCGGGCGGGCGAGCCGAACATCATCGGCTGGGCGACCGGCATCGACATGACGTCACCGAACACAGAAGGTTGCGGTTGCCCTTGTTGTGGTTGCTGCGATTGTGGTTGTTGGGTTATCGGTTGGTTTTTCGCGGGCGAACCGAGGGACATTCTCATCACGTCCTCTAGATCGTCGAAGGCGGATTTCGGTTGGGCGGGGGGTGGGGGGCGGGCGGGGGAGGAGGTTACCGGCTCTCCCATACCCATGAAAGGGTTTGCCGCGGCTTGCACAAGAATATTTATAATAAGTAACACAAATATATTCATACATAATATAGAAAAATAATATACAATTTTACATAAAAACCATCACCATTAATTATTACTTCTTATTAATGTTTATTAATATTGATATTACCATGTGTAATATATATAGAATAAAAAAATTATAACTTAATAAATCTCGATAGAATACAATTACACATGGCAACACCAATGCATTTTAATAATTTATTAAGGCTAAGAATACACAGATTGCAAAATTGTGTAAGTGCAAAAGTTGACTAAAACTACATCAATACGAACTTGTCTGGAACTTCAAAAAATGATCGCATACGAAAAATTACGTTTTAAATGTACATATATATTACAGACTACCCTGTATCATTTCATTGTATAAAACGAGATATTAGTTCATTAGTTCAGCCCTTTTTAACTTTCCACTGCTGGGCGTAGACCTCCCTTGTATCGAAGATTATGAGAAGGTTCAAGCCATAATCCACTAAACTGGCCAAGTACAGGTTGGCGGGCTGAACATATCTACTAAAAAAATACTTAAATACCCTCAGACGTACAAGTTTCCTAATAATATTTTCCTTCACCGCAAAATATGAAAAAAAAAACACCATCGATCATAGACAATACCGCCATATTACTCAACTTATCCTTACACAATCTCGCATTCCGCTGCCCACGTCCAAACTAGCCTCACCTGCAGTAGTGTCAGTATTGAATACGTTATTGAAACTAGCGTCGGTGACGAACGAGTTGTTTTGGCCGAACTGTTGTTGTATTCCGTTGCTCTGCCAGGCCGGCTGAGGCGCGGGCTGGGGGGTCGCTAGAATACACGGGTTTGTGAGATCACAGGTTCGAACCCGGTCCGAACTAGTCAAATTATAGAGGGAGGAAAGAATGACATTTTACAGGCGTTTTTTTTCGTGTAAATCATGGAAAAAATTAAAATAGGGCGGCAACGCAAGTATAAAAAGTAACACAGTTCTTCCTCTTTCAGAATTTAATATGAGATTTTAAAAAAAAGGGGGGGAGGAAAAATAAACAGAAATCTTACACAAGTTTTTAGGATGAGTAAATCATCGAAAAAAAAATATATAAAAAAAATAACACGCGTTAATGCAAAAAATATAAAAAAAGAACATTGTTCTTTATTCATCGAGAATTTATGAAAACTAAAAAAAAAAAACTAAAAAATATACACGGTCCTATTTAAAATTTGTAAAGTTTGTTGTGTACAGAAATGACGGAAAAAATGAGTTGTTTAAATTCTATGATTTTTAACTTTGACACTGTAAAGTTATTGATTTAGTCATTTTAATTTGTTAAGTTTATTAATATGTTAAACTAGCGGCTCACCCTCGCTTCGCTCGGGTTCGTCGCTAGGTACGTTTTAAATAGATATAAAAAAAAAAAATCTTTCTTTCTCACATTTTAATTATATGTTTTAATACTTACCTATTCCGGACTAAGAGAAATCCAAAAATTAAAATATCATAAAAATTTGAACGCGGTCGAACGGGATAAAAAGTATCCTATGTCCTTCTCCTGGCTCTAAACTACCTCCCTGCCAATTTTCAGCTAAATCGGTTCAGCCGTTCTTGAGTTATAAGCGAAGTAACTAACACGACTTTCTTTTATATATATAGATATAAGAATTACGAAGAATTACTGGAATATAATATGCAATAATTAAAAATGGGATATTCTTATCATATTTATTTGTATATTGTCAACATTTTCCCGTTTCCTTCAAGTAATATCATATTTATACTAAGATACTTGTAATTAGAGCACTTTCAATTTACCAATTCTTGGAAGTTTATTGCATAGACGTGGGTTATGTGCATATGTGTGATATTATACAGTGTTTTGTGCTAGAAATGACCTTTTAAATTGCTACATATTTTTGATATCATAAAAAAGCATCCTTATTCTAAGCGACTTAAAAACCGCAGAAGTTGTGAAGGACCACGCGTGTAATTTAGTTCTAAGAATACTGTAAAATAAGCATTTTTAATAATCACTAAAACCAAAAAAAAGGTTGTAAAAAAAATTGAATATACACGTCAACTGAAAAAAATTAAACATACATACATACACATAAAGAATCATCCTTAAAATCTAACCCTAAAATTACCCACTGTACAATAAATACCCGTCCTTAAAAATCTAAACAGTTCTTAATAAATATTAGAATAAATAAATAAAAAAAAAACAATATACAGAACGAAGCATAGACAAAAGACCTACCTCCAAACATATCCGCGAAGGGGTTGCCCAGAGACAACAGATCGTCCGAGGCCTTGCTAGTGTTGTTGGCGGTGTCGGAGGGCGCGGGGCCGAATAGATCCACTATGGACTGGTTTTGGTTCTGTGGGGGCGCACTCGACAGGAACGGGTTGTTGGCAGAGTTAGTTGGCGACTGCACTTTGTTCTGTATCGACATTATGTTAGCCATTTTAGTTTTTACTTATAACATATTATTGTGATATATTTACTTTTTTTAACTTCAATAATTATATTTATATTGCGATTTAATGTTAAAAAACGAAGTATGAACATAACAAATAACATAAAACAAATATGAATCCCAAATACAATGAAGACATAGTGCATTTATGGCATATAAAGTTAATGAAAGTGATATTTTTTTTTATATATAACATATAACTAGAAATAACAACCATATTATTTCGACCGCTGTTTTCATTTTGATGGAAAACAGTAACTAAATATATTCATTTGAAGGATATATTTACAAATTAAAAGAAATGGTCCCAATAATAAAATATGAATTGTATGGGCCGATCTAAAATTTGATAATTTTAAGCCCAATTCCCATATGTTAAGTTTTGTGATGAGCCATAGAACAACACAAGTGAGATGTTTTCAGAGAAAATGTATGAAAGCCAACAATATAATGTTTTTTATACTATTAGATAGTATAATTAAAATTATTGAAAATAAGTGTAGTTCTCTGTTGGTCCATTACACTGTGTATCGTGTGTTACTCATAACTATCTTTTGTCAAATATCATAGGATGAGACAATTCATATTGAAATTTTCAAACAAAATAGGGAAAATGTCGTGATTAGTAAATAAAATATGAAATTGAACATAAAAATTAAAAAAAATATAATCGAATTTAAGATGATTTTTTTTTGTGAAGAATAAAGGGAAAGAAATTATAAATTGTACTATCATCTTACTAATATTTTATTTGGACAGTTTGTATCTTTCTAGTCTTTAGAGCAATAGACATAGATACTTTTATTCTTTTATAAAGAGCGACCATAAACACAATTATTGCCATTATTTACACGCACAGATAACATATATCCTATTAAAAATCCACATAAATATCCCATAGACAAACCAGAGACAAAATTAAAGCTCTGTAAAAGCGTATAACATATCCCAAGCCCAAAACATCCCAACGTATAAAGCTTAGTTAACCCTATATAGAGAATCTTACGAATTTTTCCGATATTTGTGATATATCCTCTTCCCCGGTCAACTCTACGCCTTGGTATAATTGCACCTGGAAGTACCCACTTTGTGGTATAATTCACGAATTTTTATAAGAATTTTATTTTTTTTATAGAAAAATTATAGATATAATCCTGATTTTACAGTAATTAACAAAAATAATATCTATACACAATAATATAATGAAATAGTAAATAAGTGAAATCTGTACATGAAATATTTTCTAAAACCAATGATTGTAACATATTGTGTATATAATATAGACCCCAAAACAAGTTATTAAATTTTTTATCTGTGTATCTATTTATTTTACACGCAAAAAGTATTGAAAGCATTTTAACTAAATGTTGTGTAGTGATAACTTATTACTCGGGTTAACGTTAAGGATACCTTTTACTACAGGAAAATCTTTCATTCCCACGGAAAAACATAATAACTGGTTCTATCGAGCCATCCTTAGAATTTTACATGGCTAACGCTGGCTATACGGTGAAAGTTACACCAAAACAATATACCAGAAAATTGTAGGTTTTATAAAGGCCTACAGAAAAATCTAAGGTACACTCGCAATAACTATTTTTATCTATTTAAAACATAAACACATCCGAGCAAGGCCAGGGTAAATCGCTAGTATATAATATCTTTATTTATTTTGTCTTATTTTTTTTTTAAACGTTTATAATGATATTCCAATATAGTATATAAATTTAAAGGTACCAATAGTCTAACCAGAATTTTTTCCACCAATTTAGATAAAAAACATGCAAAATAATTTTTAAAACAAACAAAACTTGTTTCAATTAAACATAATAATATATGTATACATATGAAGATAAAACTTACTTTCAAAAACCGTATTTAAAAATCTAATAATAAGAAGAAGTCGTCATATAAAGTTGAAGTATGTAATTCATTTTAGATGAAGTTTCCAGAAATCGCATATCAAAAAAGAGATATAGCCTATAAAAAGTTACAACTTAAGTATGTTAATAGGTTATTTATATATAACTAAATCATATAAATTAATTAAGTCTGAAATATTTTGTATGTAGTGGAAGCCAAAATCATTATCGTTTCAATATAACATATAAAGACCGGATAGATTTTAATAAAACTTTCCATATAAAAATAACATAATGATTTCTATTGATTAAGTACATACATACATACGTCCAAACCACTCGATCCCATCGCTACATTATTTGCTGTTGTTAGTAGATATTATACTATATGTCTGTTTGTATCACCTTGTACTGATTCATGGCGGCTTCTTCTTCAGCCAATACTTGTTGTTTAAGGGAATCATCTATAAATAAGTTTCCATTTGCCTGATTATCGAGGCGCGTCGAGGCGGCCGCGTTGCCGAATGATGACGACGTGGACGAGAGAGCGCCCATCACGCTTGCTACGTTCTTTTGAGCGCTGGGAAATACAAAAATAATATAAAAAAATAAAATTTATAAATACATTTGACTCAGTTTGTAGTGATCCTACTTGCTGTGCCAGCGGTCGCGGGTTCGAGTCCCGCTGGTGGCATTCGTTTGTGTGATGAGCACGAATGTTTGTATTCCAGTCATGGGCGTTTATATTTATAATAAAGTTATATATGTGTAGTGTTTCAACAATCTGGTATCCATAACACAAGCCTCGTAGCTTACCATGGAACTAGATAGTGATGTGTGTTACTGTCCCAACATAATATATGGGGATCAGACCGTAGTCCACCACGCTGGCCGAGTGCGGGGTTTATGTACTTCATATATCTTTCGAAAATTTGCTAGGTTCTAACAGACATATAGATTTCCTCACAATATTTTCCTTCACCGTAATACAAGTGGTAATTATGTTGGACTAGATTCGCACATGAGAATATCAGAGGTGCGAGACCGGGATTTGAACTCGCTTCACTCGGTTTACCAAGCGAGCGCGTTAGCACTGGGCTATCACTGCCCTGTCATAGACATCGAATACATCGATACATATAATAAAATTGTAACTAAGTCGAATCTGTACATTAAATATTTTTTGGAAAATCTAATTGAAATAGACATTATTATCGATACAGAGTCCGAATCTAAAGTGTTTAGAATTTTTGTCTATCTGTCTGTCTGTTACCGCATCACGAGAAAACCACTGGACAGATTTTGATGAAATTTGGTATGGTGATAGCTGGTTATCCGGGTCAACATATAGGATACTTTTTACCGCGGAAAAATATCTCATTTCTGAGAAAAAATACAAAAACTGCATTGTAAGAGTATACTAATATGTAAAACCTAAGAATTTGCTTTTTGGTCATCTGAACGCGGGCGGAGCCGCGGGCAATGCTAGTTAAACTACTATATCGTTAAATAGACTGGCATTACTATAATATATCATTATATCATATAATAAAAACAACCCATAAAACATACATATATTTTATACTGTTATATTTTAACTATTTTTGTTACTTTGTATTAAATTCAAATCCAAATTTAAATATGTATTGACCTTAACCATTTTTTTGATGGTACTGTTTTGTACAGCTTCTCACCTCAGCCATATCCATTGTCTCGTTTTTATTTATATTTTTATATTTAATATTATTTTAACAGTGTAACTTTTTTAATTTATTGTTATATTGTTTGTCAGAATAAGTCGAAATCTAATTTAAAGGGACTTCCCATAGCATCATACAATTTGATAAGAATCAATGTTCTGAATAAAAGTGAAGAAAAAATTCGAAATTCATATATTTAATATAGTAATACAAATATGTTGGGACATTAACACACATCACCATCTAGTTTCATGATAAGCTACGAGGCCTGTGTTATGGATACCAGATAGTTGATACACTACACATGTTATATAACTTTAAATACATACATATTATAAACTATAAACACCTACGACCGGAGTACAAACATTCGTGCTCATCACACAAATGAATGCTCCCAGCGGGACTCGAACCCGCGACTGCTGGCATAGCAAGTAGGGTCACTACAAACTGAGCCAAACGTGTCGTCAAATATAAAAAAAATACATAAAGCTGTAATTTATAATAATAATAGTATAAAATGTTAATGTTTATAAGTTTGTATGTAGGGGGTAATCTCTAAAACTACTACCGATCTAAAAAGTACTAAATACACAATCCCATGCAAAAGATCTCTTAAAACTGTTACCAGTTGTGTTGTAAATTGAACCTTAAATGCAAAGCTTAAAGTTGTTTTCACAAAAAAAAAAAATTAAAAGCGCGCTCAAATGTTCAAAAGAGCGCTCATTCGGTGAGGACATTTTTTGTCACTGATTGTGTATCTAGGTACTTTTTCGATCGATATTTTTACTGTCATAATTTATAATAACTTAAGTGTACGAGTATATGTATATAAGTTATATATATTTATCACCTGGCAGTCTGTGTAGGCGTGTTGGCAGCTGATCCCTTCTTCCCTTCCAACGTAGCGAGGTGGCCTTCCAGCGCGTCCAGCAAACTGCTCGGCGCCTTCGTCAGGTCGGGGATGTCCCCTTTGTCTATGCCCACGTTTTCTGCTACCTGGAGTTTTACATCGAGAGAGGATTTTATTAGCCATTTTAGTATTATAAATTTATTTATTTATTATCAACACCAACAAGATATACATTAACAGAAACACAGAATTATAGCATGTCCACAAGTTAGGAGTCTAAATGATATCTTAATTATAGATGTTACACGCATTGCAAAGAAACACGTATACAAATAATTAAGAACAATAGGTACGTGCAATAAAAAAATACACCAGACAATATAATCAAAAATAAATAGAACTGAGTTTAAACAAAAATGCGAGAGTTCGTTTGCGATTCATGCTTTTTATTTTTTTTTATTACATAGGTCGCTAACAGATCATACAATCATACGATTGTACACGTTAATAAAGAAAAGAAGATCTATACAAAACGATGCCCTAATTATAAGCAACACTGCATTCTAATAAGACCAAATAAATATAATAACATAATACTTTGATTGGAAATTCAAAATGGTGATAGATTATATTATAGTTGATTATCTAGGGATAGTATCTAACTAAAACAGTATAAAAATCTACATATATACAGTAGGTGATCGCTTTTGTTATTAAAGGAAATCCCGTTGCAAGGGTTGACAATAAATACCAATTTTCATAGCGAACATTATCGAAATAAAAGCCCTGTAATCTATCTATCTATCAACCCTAAATCTAGTTTCCCGACTATCATATAAACGTACGTATGAAAGTCGGGAGCGGCTTATCAATATTATTACACGACTAATTCATACATTAGACTCAGGGATAGCTATTTTATAACCAACTTTCAAAAACGAGGAGTTTCTATGTTCGTCTGTATGTATTTTTATATGTACTTATCACGCAAAGCAGCAGAAGACACTAGTATTATATAATATTTATTGTCCACTAACCTTTAAGAACTCTCCAACTCTATCCATCCTTATAAGGAACTTTTTATAGAGGTCGAGAGCCTCGCGACAGTTCTTTTTGTTCATATCAAAATACTTCTCCAATAGATTGATGATGCCGTCGTTGTAGCAAGCGAAGAGTCTGGAAGTGTTGTAATTAAATAGTACTTAGTTTACTCAGATATCTATACAAGTATAAATATCTATACATATAATAAAATTGTAACTAAGGATCGAATCTGTACATTAAATATTTTTCGAAAACTCTAATTGAAATAGACATTATTATCGATACAGAGTCCGTATCTATAGTTTTTAGATTTTTTGTCTGTCTGTCTGTCTGTTATCGCATCACAGAAAAACCACTGGAGGGATTTTGATGAAATTTTGTATGGTGATAGCTGGTTATCCGGGTCAACATATAGGATACTTTTTATCGCGGAAAAATGTCTCATTTCTGAGAAAAAATACAAAAACTGCAATGTAAGAGTATACTTATATGTAAAACCTAAGAATTTGGTTTTTGGTCATCTGAACGCGGGCGGAGCCGCGGGCAATGCTAGTTATAAAATAAAGTCTCCCATCGCGTCTGTCTGTCAGTTTAAACGCGATAAACTCAAAAACTAACGAACGGATTTTCATACGGTTTTCACCAATAAATGGAGTGATTTAATAAATGTCAGTATTACGAAAAACACTAACTATAAACATATATGTTAACTAAGAAATCCAACAGTTGTACAAATTTATTTATACTTATATATATATACTATCTATATAAGTATAAATAAATTAAATTATATAAAAATATATAATACCTTATAAGATCTCTGAAGAGCAGCATAAAGCACATATTTATGACACCGTTGGTAAGGTCATTGGCGGTGCAGTCGAACTCCAACAACGCGTCCAATTGCGCCTGAAGTACTGGCAATGTCTTCAATAGTTTCTCCGCATTCATCATACGGAGAGAACCCTCTTCCTTACTATAAATTACAGATAAATTATAATTAGCATAATATTAAGCTGGTATTTTAAAACATAACCTACAACTAACTGAATTTTGATATTAAACTGCTTTAACAAAGCAGATATCTTATGGTGTTAGGTTCGAATACTGTGTTGGGCCAAAATGAATAATTTGGGGGTTTTAGCTGTCAATAAATTTCAATGTTAGAGTTAAGATGTTAACAGTACCATATCGTATATCCACATCTTATGATATAATTCTAATTTGTATAGAATTATCATAATAGATTCTCGGAAAAATAACATTTTTTTTTAGTATAACATACACAAGAAATACCTTTGAATATAAAAATTACTCAATTGAGTCTGATAAACTTTAATGGCTTACGCATTCTAAAGGGTCAAAGCATCTTCAAACCAAAATACGTGTCATTATTTCATTTCATTCATTTTAGGCAATAACTATGTAGAACAATCATTTCTTTTTCTCAACAAAAAAACATACATATATATAAAAACATACATATAACTACCTGTAAATATTAATTAATTATTATAATTATATTTTTATTACTTACCCCCTCTTTACTTTACAGAAATCGAAGGCAACAGTTCTGTAGGATAGCGCCTTCTCATTCAAGTATTTGGCGTATCGCCGGATGAACGGTGACATGTCATAGCCTAAATGGACATTCAAACTATTAATAGACAATTTAATTTTTATTAAAAGTATGACACGAAAGTTATAAAACGTAACATAATATTTTTTTTATAATTAAATCCAATATACAACAAGAAATAAAAAAAAAATTAATTTATTTACAGAAAAAACGCATACAAAAATAAAATATTTGAGCAAAACCTATGGAAAATAAGTATTTTTTTGTTAATTCATATTTTGTATAGACACTAAATTCTAGTATCAGAGTCATTTTGAATCTACTGAAAACCTTTTGGGAATATACTGCTTACATCATAACAACATCTGTAAGAAAAAAAAAATATTTCTTAAATTTTAGAAAAATAAAACTATTTTTATTGCTCCTTCTAAACGGTAATAGTCCAGCAATTAGCAAAAAAAAGCGCGTGGCCGGTGGAGGGGGAGGGGTGGAGGGGGAGGGGTGGAGGGGGAGGGGTGGAGGGGGAGGGGTGGAGGGGGAGGGGTGGAGGGGGAGGGGTGGAGGGGGAGGGGTGGAGGGGGAGGGGTAGAGGTATGTATTAAGTGGCCCTTACTCATTTAAACTTGGCCACATGCTAGAACTTTACCGTTTAGAAGGTGCAATAAAAATATTTTTTATTTGGTATATAAATAAAAATTTAAGAATTATATTTTCTTTTTGTTACAGATGTTGTTGTTATTATGTAAATAGTATATTCCTAAAAGGTTTTCAGTAAATTAAAAATGACCCTGTGAATAACAAACAGTGCAGTCAAAATGGAAACAAAAGCGTGTAAACAGTACATTTAATCACGAAATCCGTGCTCGTGCATTTATCTATGTATGTATGTAAGTGTAAGTGCATAATCCTAGGTATCGCTACGACATATAAAGACAACAAGGTTGTTATAAGTCAACATTCAACTATCTGTTGATACATAATAATTCATTTGCTATAAATAGTAGATTTAACGAACTAATAAACTAATAATAATAAAACGTTAAGTTGGGGTAATTGTACGATATTAAGTATATAAAGAAAAATTGTTTGTTCAAAGAAAAAATATTAACATCTAACCCCACTCTTCACTATCTGGTTTTCTAGTTATCGCATATCCGAGTAAAACGGCAAGCATACATATGCCTAAAAATAAAAAATAAAACTATAAAAAAATTACCCCAAAAACGAATGATTAAATATAATAAAAAAACGAGCATATGTAATATGTATGTATATTTACAATTACCAAAATAACTTAAAGCTTTGAAAGAAAAATTATCTAATAAAAAAATCACATTTAAAATGAAACTAATGCAAGAACAGTGCAAAACTAAACATATTTGCACCCACATCCAAAGCGTGACAAACAGACGAGCACTAAGCGCCATACAGTTTCAACTCACCGATCCGGGCTCCTGCCGCGCCTTGTTGCGATGAAAAAATTTATATTAAAAATTGCAATTTTTTCAAATAATTTACTAATAATTTTTTTATTAATACTAAAAAATATTAAAAAAAATACCTAATAGTTTTTTTTACTTCATAAATATCATTATATCGCATAAAATGAAAAAAAAAACACAAAAATATCGATATTTTTAAAATTTTAAGCCAAGTACACCCCTTACTATGAGAACGTGGTGATGTACATAATACATAATAACTATATATAAAGAAGAGAGAGAGAAAAGCTCTTCTTAGTATATGTGAAAGGAAACCAGTAAGATAGAGTCATGCAATACTTATTCGTAATAGATCTATCGTGCTTAATTATGAGATTTTAATAGAAATCCTTGTTACAATCGCATGCGGTACCCTGATGATGCATATTTAGCATTCATATTTGACAGGTGCGTTTGTACGGTGTTTTACGATGTTCGAGAACTTTATATTACCTACTATGAGTATGTATTTAAAATATATTTTACACTTGTAAATTATGTAAATGTGATGTCTCTTATATACTACATGGTACTAACATTACATAAACCCTAAAAGCTTCTAAAATCGGAAAAATTATACATAGTTCTCATTCACGTAATATCAACTCGCCCTTTAACTTTTCAACCGACTTCAAAAAGAAGGAGGTTCTCAATTCGACTGTATGTTTTTTTTTATCTTTGTTATCTCAGACCTCCGTCATTTATTAACCGATTTGGACAATTTTTGTTTTGTTTGAAAGGGTATACTTCCAGATTGGTCCCATTTAAATTTCAAAAAAAATACCACCCTGTAAGGGTGGAAAAACAACGAATGATGAATTTAACCTATTTCTAATTGTCATATTGACTTGAAACTTTGCAAGTATTTCTATTTCCGTTGATAGTGCAGTGGTTCAGTGTTGTTGACCTGATCTGATGGCAAGGCCAGAAGGTGGATAGGTGGAACTCTTCAACGGCTAATAGTAGATACTTTGAGTTTGGGCTTATTTTGTTTGATTTGACAAGCTTAACACGTTAGAATCCTTACTTTGCTACTACTGTCTACACTAAAAAGGGAAAAATAAAAACTTTTTAACAAAAAAATAAAAACCGACTTCAAAAAAAAGCACTAAAAAGTAAAAAATAACTGATTGGTAGTTTTCATTTACTATACATACCTAATCAAATATTTTCGAAGTCGGTGTGCTTTGGCTAAGTAATTAAAGCCTACCTATTAAATACATACCTAATCAAATATTTTCGAAATCTGTGCCAGCCCATACAAAGCAAAGCACACCGACTTCGAAAATTTTCGATTAGGTATGTATAGTAAATGAAAACTACCAATCAGTTATTTTTTTTCCTTTTTACTACCTTGACACATAAGAATCTAAATATTATACTTAAAATTCCTGCAAAACAGTATCATGGGAATTTAACGAAATTCCCTGTTTGTAATAAGTTTTAGTAGAGTTCCAATTAAATCGATATTTTCAACGATAGACTTGCGAATAAAGCTATACAATATCGATTTGTTACTGGTTTCCATACACATAATATATAATGTATATACTATTTATGAAATATAATCTACGAGATAACTACAATGTAACAATTTCAACGGATGAGATCAATGAATCGTTATTATCAGTATTTTAATAGTTTGTTTTTTATTATGAATGCTGCAAATAAAAATAACACTCGTATGGTATAATTATAGTAATTTATTGATGACTTTATGATTAGTCGAACGATGTTTCATTTATACTTCTAAAGCATATTAACGTCAAAAGATTATAGTTTAATAGCACATGTATGTATATAGAAAAAATAAACCATCCGTCTGTTATTTCGGAACAGATGACTATTCGTAGCTTCGTTTGTTTATTTATAAAAAAATATATTTTTATATAACTTACTCTCTGAACTGATTCTAACGAAACATTTATGGGTGATTAGAGTATTTAACACTATCACGTAATATGTATACAGCGGAAAGTGAAGAAGAGTTAAAGAAAATTTCTTATTAAATAAATTTGACGACACGTTTGGCTCAGTTTGTAGTGACCCTAATAACTGTGCCAGCGGTCGCGGGTTCAAATTTCGCTGAGGGCATCCATTTGCGTGATGAGCACGAATATGGGGGCGTAACACCGCCAAATCCCAACTCCAGACTACTAATGAGAATTTTTCTTAACTCAAAATATTTGGTCCGAACCGACTCAAAACTAGTATATATACGCATACAATATATATATATATATATATATATATATATATAACATATAAATATATATATATATATATATATATATATATATATATATATATATATATATATATATATATATATATATATATATAGACAAAGACAAAAGAGTTCAGTATATTTTCCTCCTTTCTTTATTTTTTGTTTAGTAGCTATTGACAAGTTTTAGTGTTATCGATAAAAAAAGTCTAATTATGGCAGAATTTCGAACACTGGGCGAACACTAAATACTCACATACTCTGAGTTTCACTGAAATAAAAATAAACATATAGATTATAAAGGATTTGTTCCATTCTTTCCACCAATTTAATTGTGAAGTAAAGCGTGAGATTTGGCTTAAACCTCTAATTATAACACAGACGCTTCAAAGGTGTTTGTTTACGACACACTTGCTAATTGGTCGAGTCAGGTAGAATATACAATATAAATATTTATATTACTTATTAAAATCTATATATACTCGTACATATGGAGGCAAAGAGTTTGTTGTTTTTTGCTTAGAACGCGCTCATATAAACCTACTAGAGTAATTTAAAAGAAATCTTTTCTTTCTTTATAACCCACTGGCATTGCCCGCGGCTCCGCCCGCGTAGATGACCAAAAACCAAATTCTTAGGTTTTACATATTAGTTTACTCTTACATTGCAGTTTTTGTATTTTTTTCTCAAAAATGAGATATTTTCCCATTTATGAATGTGAATGAGATAATGAGGTAAAAAGTATCCCATATGTTGACCCAGATAACCAGCTACCATCATATCAAATTTCATCAAAATCTGTCTAGTAGTTTTCTCGTGATGCGGTAACAGACAGACAGACAGACAAAAATTCAAAAAACTATAGATTGTGCCTCTGTATCGATAATAATGTTTATTTCAATAAGATTTTCCAAAAAAATATTTAATGTACAGATTCGGCTTAGTTACAATTTTATTATATGTATAGATTTATTTGGGAAGAAAGTTCAAATTCGCATTCGAAATATTTTATCCGACGTTAAATTATTGATTGTTTTAACTGAACATCACGTGTTCTAAGTTTGGAAACTCATTAAAGGAAGCAAGAAACAAACTATCTAACAACGCGATACTACGACGACCCTTGAGGAGCAGAGCATAAAATACATAAATAAACTACATGGACCGAATGGTAAAATATTAAAATAAAAGATAGCGCTACATCCCCGCAAGGCCTGCCACCATGTTACCCTGCATGTAGGGATCCGAGAAATGTACACAGAGGAAACATGCCCACAATGTTTACCGAGAACCGTCGATTTTAAAGAATACGAATCGGACTGTCGTCTATACTATAGGTAATATTATAAAGAGGCAAAGTTTGTGTTTGTGACGTTGTAGGGGGTAATATCTGGATCTACTGAATCGATTTAGATGAAATTTGGTAACAATATAGTTTGAGACCCGGGGAAGAACATAGGATACTTTTTATCCCGGAAATCATCCCTTAAGGGGGTGAAAATGTGGATGAAAGTTTGTATGGGCTTTTGTATATTTATTAATTAGTAACGGCTGAACGGATTTTGATAAAATTAAGTTTACAGATAGATAATGATCTGGAGTAGCGTATAGGTATACCTAGAGCCGCACCTGAGCAAAGTCAGGATAATTCAATAGTATTAAATAATCATTGGACTTTTCATATATTTATATAGGTACTTCCTTAAAGGCAGGTAACTTTTAAACAATATTATGTTTTTATTATTGATATTACAAAAACACTAACAGAGTACATATTGTATCGAGTCTACAAGCAATATCGCTTTGTACCGTTAAGCAATATGTAATGGCTTCAGTACTTTATTTTTTAACTGATGGATTACATAACAATGTGTAAATAAATAATCAAAAGATGTAGAGTCATAAATGCTTACGCTAATTTCAAAATCAATAAAACTTCTCCAAAGCAGAGAAAAAAAAATTGTGATAGATGAGGCGCTATACAGAACATGTTTAAAATTTGTTTGAACTTAGGACACTCATTAGTATTAATACCTACAAATGAAATGTGTTTGTTAGTTCATGTCTATGCCTTCAACTAGAAATGGGGAGACAGCGGAATGCGAATTCACATAGAGTTTACGGTCTATAGAGCAATATTGTCTATTATCACCGTATATAGAAATCTTAGAATATTAGTAGATCCACCCCCCCCCCCCCTAACGTGCGTTCACCTTGTCGTGGTGGGGGGGGGGCTCAGTATTGACCGGCAATACAGCCGGGCGCGAAGCCAAGAAACGCACAGGGAGGTGCCCAACTTCGGTGGGCGGTGGGAGGTGGTCCTCTTCGGGGGGCGGTGTACCATGCGGGTTGCTCCTGGTACTTCTCTGATAGCAGAGTGGACCTTGGAGCAACCCCATGGTTGTCGTGGTCTGCTTCGGCAGACCTGCCGTCGGGGCGTCGTAGTTGAATGCGTAAGTGATCCTGCGACGCCCCATTAAGACGGGGGAAGGTTTTGTTGGGTTTTAGTGGGTAGTACTGGCTTTGCCGGTGAGTCCCACACCTCGTTTGTAAATGCATTTCCCCCAACGTTAAAAAAAACGGCCCTAGTAGATTAAATAAAACAATGACCATACAAATAGCGAGTCATTAAAATAATGCCGTTTCACACTAGTAACTGATTACGCGCGGCAACAATCATAACTATTATGTACTAAAAGAAGGAAGGACAAATCACGGGGTCATATCGAGTCGATGAACTCAAAGGTCGGAGTCAATATGTAACCGACACACAAAACCTATGGAAGGCGCCAGCCACTTGGCAAAAGAGCTAGGCCGAATGACGTATATATCGTTACGTAAGTCTTTTTTATATTAATAAATAATAAAAAAGGCTTTGACCCTTGTCATTCACATTACTGCGGTTCTATTTCGTACGATTTATTTTTATCTTTTGGACACTCAAAAAGTAAATAACAAAGATTGATATTTCTGAAGGATATATATATATATATATATATATATATATATATATATATATATATATATCCTTCAGAAATATATATATAAATAAATATATATATATATATATATATACACAACTCGAACAAACCGAAGTCTATTTCGTTATAATAAAGAAATATTTTAAGAATAAGCATAGAAGAATACGAATTATCGAAGCTTTCGTCCATGGATACGCGTGTAACTAGTAAAGAAAAATAGTCAATATACTCGTAGCTAATAGAAAAATACTCTACCTATACGATAGTTTAAAGACCAATTAAAATCGGTACAGCCGACTCGGAACTCAGCAGGCATTTTATATGGTTGTATTGGGGCTGTTATTGTGTAAATAACTATATAAATTCAATTTGGGGTAGCTACATATTTTAAATTCTTATCAATCTATTTACAGACACTCATTTTATTTCTAAGTAGGTATAGGCATCGTTTCGAGCTGACACAGTTACGTGTCAAATTTACTTATTTGAACTCAGACAAAATCTATATTCTAGAAAATCTTCAAAGCGAAGATTGAGCCCACCTCAAAAGATAAAAAGCTTTCAAAAAGCTCGGCCAAGTTTGCTAATCGGAAATAATACTAACAGACACTTTGTGTGTTCTATAGATCTATTCTAAAGTAATATTTTGCGTGATACATTTTTATGGTTTCAGTAAAATTTCTTTGCAAGCTGTACAAGAAGAATGTAGGCATTTTACACTGCATTTAGTAATGCAGAAATATGTTGGGTTTGTGCTTTGTTCAAGAAAGTTGGTATGGGAGTCTTCATTTAATCAAAACATTTCTACTGTAGTACGTATATTTCATCTATTCCCATTCTCTTGTTAATACTTATTATATGTCCTATTTTAAATATTATATACACTATATCACTTCTAAAATAAAACTATCAATAAGTATGTTAAATTCATCAAACCATTTAGGCTACAGATATTGCCGAAAAATCTTACAAACAAACATACATACATACACCATTCATATACCTTCTTTAAAACATTACCATCATTTTCTGCAGTTGGTTAATATAAAAAAATATATGAAAGAGTAATATATTACCTATAATGAAGTCTCAAAAGATGATCAACATGTCATTGCAACATTGCTGTAGTTAAAATGCTTTAGAATTTGACCCCTTTACCCGATTCGAACGGGGTCGAACACAGAAGATAATTTTATACTTGGCAAATGAAATATAAAAGGCTTTGACTCTATCTGCTGTAGTTTCAGAATTTACAGTGTAGAAGAATTTAATGGCACTCTTACACTGCTTGCAGTTTTCTCTTTCCCGTAATGAACAAAATTTATCGTGACTTCCTATAGGAAATAAGTAATTTGACCTAATGCAATTTACTTTTATAAATATATTTGGACTATTATAAATGCGAAATTTTGTCATATATATGTGTGTACGTTTGTTTATTCTCCAGTTTTGCATGAAATTTAGTTCACAGAGATAGACTTTGGGGTAACACTTGGTCTACTATTGGGCAACTAGAGACACTCGAGTGAAGCAAGGGTAAATCGCTAGTAACATATAAATAAACCTTAATCTTGTTATACATATTATAGGTATAAACGTTCTCCCGCGACTTCCTACGCGTATTTCAGTTATATATTACTAGCGGCTCACTCTCGCTTCGCTCGGGTTCACTTCTAGGAAAACAGAAACAAATCTATCCTACGGAAACCGTAAATTTTTCCGGGATAAAAAGTAGCCTATGTGTTATTCCAGACTATAATCTATCTCTGTGCCAAATTTCATTCAGATCCGTTCAGCCGTTCTGACGTGAAAGAATAACAAACCAATTCTCACAAACTATCACATTTATTATATTAATGATACGGACTATACCTTAAAAAATTAAAGCCTGTATAACACTCTTATGTATAAGCTAAATGAAAAGTTTCAACACAATCCGTTCAGTAGTTTTTCCGTGAAAGACTAACATATGTACATCCATCCCATCCATACAACCTCACAAACTTTCGCGTTTATAATACTAGTAGGAGGAAGAAACTATATTCCAAGCTCCCCAAACTTTAGTATAACAACTAGCATTGCCCGCGGCTCCGCCTGCGTTCTGATGACCAAAAACCAAATTCTTAGGTTTTACATATTAGTATACTCTTACATTGCAGTTTTTGTATTTTTTCTCAGGAATGAGACAATTTCCCGCGATAAAAAGTATCCTATATTATGTTGACCCGGATAGCCAGCTATCATCATACCAAATTTCATCAAAATCCCTCCAGTGGTTTTTCCGTGATGCGGTAACAGACAGAAATTCTAAAAACTCCGGCCTCTGTATCGATAATAATGTCTATTTCAATAAGATTTCCCAAAAAATATCTAATATACAGATCGCTTAGTTACAATTTTATTATATGTATAGATATCTACCTATATTATTTTCAGTATTTAATTTCATCAGAAACAGCAAATACACGATAGCCGTGGAAATACACCGAGATTTCCATATCCGACGCTATTGCGTAAAGGAAGTGTTGTGAATTGTGATACAATATTGTTTGTCGTACGTTATTCCAGCTACAGTTGAATATTTATTTATTTCTAGTTTAGATTTTAAATTAAACTATCTTTTCGGTTTTTTAATTCTAGACGTTTCGAATGCTTCTTATCAATAAATAATAACCTTATAGTCCCCAAGAATATGGGGTATAAAGTTAAAAATGCTCTAATTTGGAACGAAACAAAAAAATACCCTTTTATCTATACATATAATAAAATTGTAACTAAGCCGAATCTGTACATTAAATATTTTTTGGAAAATCTTATTGAAATAAAGATTATTATCGATACAGAGGCCGAATCTATAGTTTTTAGAATTAATTTTTGTCTGTCTGTCTGTTACCGCATCACACAAAAACCACTGGAGGGATTTTGATGAAATTTGGTATGCTGATAGCTGGTTATCCGGATCAACATATAGGATACTTTTTACCGCGGGAAAATATCTCATTTCTAAGAAAAAAATACAAAAACTACAATGTAAGAGTAAACTGATATGTAAGACCTAAGAATTTAGTTTTTGGTCACCTTGAACGCGGGCGGAGCCGCGGGAAATGCTAGTATTTATAATATTTATAAGGATTATGAGTCTGACCTAGTTACATGGGTCGCGGTCGCGGCACAAAATTAACTTATAATGATTATAAACCACGAAAATGAAAATTTAATCTCCATCATACTTTGCTTAGCCTAGTGAGTGTTACCGTATTTTTTTTAATCATTATTTCCATTCACATAATGCCAGTTTTAGAAATTATACTTTATATAAAATAGGTTTCATATGAATCTAGAAAAAAAAACGAATTAAAAATAAGAAAGGATGTATGTTTAAAAAATATTTGTATTTCATTAAATTATCTCATGTAATTTATTATTATTTATTTATTATTGCCCGCGGCTCCGCCCGCGTTTAAATGACCAAAAACCAAGTTCTTAGGTTTTACGTATTAGTATACTTTTGCATTTTTTACTTTTTGCTTTTGCATTGCAGTTTTTGTATTTTTTCTCAAAAATGAGAAATTTTTCCGCGGTAAAAAGTATCCTATATGTTGACCCGGATAACCAGCTATCACCATACCAAATTTCATCAAAATGCCTCCAGTGGTTTTTCTGTGATGCGGTAACAGACAGACAGACAGACAGACAAAAAATCTAAAAACTATAGATTCGGTCTCTGTATCGATAATAATGACTATTTCAATAAGATATTCCAAAAAGTATTTCATGTACAGATTCAATTCAGTTAGAATTTTATTATATGTATAGATTATTTCGCGAGGAAGAAGGAACTCAATCTTCTCCCTGCTCATATTATCCTAAACTTTATAGGTATTGTTTTGGATGATATACCGCAGTATTAATTAACCTACAAGTATAAGTAATTTAAATTAGTAAATGGATACACATCAACGATGTTATGTAAAAAACACATATTTGAATATCTTTGAAAGGAAATATAAAACATCTTATAAGACTTAAGAAAGCGGATGGAAATCGTAAATCATTCATAAAATGTATACAAATCGGGGCATTACGTCGAGAGCTTTCTTCTATTATCTTTTAACGTTCAATAAACTTTTACAATTAGTATAATTACATTAAATTTTATTTGCAGCATTTCATATGTTTATTGATTAAATTAATCTATATATATATAAAAGAAAGTCGTGTTAGTTACTTCGCTTATAACTCAAGAACGGCTGAACCGATTTAGCTGAAAATTGGCAGGGAGGTAGTTTAGAGCCAGGAGAAGGACATAGGATACTTTTTATCCCGTTCGACCGCGTTCCAATTTTTATGATATTTTAATTTTTGGATTTCTCTTAGTCCGGAATAGGTAAGTATTAAAACATATAATTAAAATGTGAGAAAGAAAGATTTTTTCTTTTTATATCTATTTAAAACGTACCTAGCGACGAACCCGAGCGAAGCGAGGGTGAGCCGCTAGTAGCTAATAAAATAAACAATTGTACGTACCTTGAACTCCACTCTTATCAAGAAAATTACTTAGTTGAAATGTAGAATTACTCGACGCTAAATATTGTGTAAACCTCTGAAAAGAACAAAAAAAAGCATCATTTAGTACTTAACTAATATTGTTGTTTAAAAATAATGGCATAGTTCAGCGTATTTGAGTATTAAATTAGAGAGAATTTCACTTTAAGGTGGATTTTTTTAATTTGTATGGGTTTTATTCTCTTATTATTTCGACGACGTTTGGCTCAGTTTGTAGTGATCCTACTTGCTGTGCCAGCAGTCGCGGGTTCGTGTCCCGCTGGGGGAATGAATTTGTGTGATAACCACGAATGTTTGTACTCTAGTCATGGGTAGCATTTAGGTACGTGTAATGTTTCAACTACATATCTGATATTAATAACACAAGCCTCGTAGCTCACCATGGTACTAGATAGTGTTGTGTGTTAATGTCACAACATATTTACTTACTAGCGGCTCACCCTCGCTTCGCTCGGGTTCGTCGCTAGGTACGTTTTAAATAGATATAAAAAGAAAAAATCTTTCTTTCTCACATTTTAATTATATGTTTTAATACTTACCTATTCCGGACTAAGAGAAATCCAAAAATTAAAATATCATAAAAATTGGAACGCGGTCGAACGGGATAAAAAGTATCCTATGTCCTTCTCCTGGCTCTAAACTACCTCCCTGCCAATTTTCAGCTAAATCGGTTCAGCCGTTCTTGAGTTATAAGCGAAGTAACTAACACGACTTTCTTTTATATATATAGATTTACCTATTAAAAATAAATATAGAAGTCGATCCACCATCGGAAACGATACAGCTTAACATAAGATATACCCAATGATAATCACCAAAAAATCTGATAAATTGAGTGGGACCACTGCATTTTTGTAGATTCAGTCAAAAAGATTATAAGAACATGAAAAGTAGCTTCTTAGAAAATTACTACGTATTAATATAAAATTGCCAATTTCTCACTTTATACAGAAAAAATCTTGTTATAGTTTATACGCCTTAATACTTAAGTAGTTAAAACAGTCAATTACGCGCTGAAATATCTAGGCTTTGTCACATAAATTGTACCAACACATGTACCAAAATGTTCCAAGACTCATTAAATTTCAAATAGCATTTGTTCGAGCCTCGCTCGGGTAAGTTAGGTTTTTCTGATTTCATATTTCTCGACTAACCCTCTTTGGGGTTGTGGTTATGGGATAGAATTAATTTTGGCAAACTTCGACATACATATGTACAGTATACTTAATATGTACTAATATGAATTTCAACTGTTTTTCCAAAGCAAGCATAAATATTGAAAAAAATATCGGTATATATAAATAATAATATTCCATACATAAGAAGGCGGCCCATGAAATTGAATAAAAAAATCCCTTTTCAATAATATCAGCATCTGGACTACCGAGCTTTGCTCGGAGTTTTTGGCTTAAAGTGCAATTTTCTTTTTTTTTTAAACTAAAAACTTGAATATATATTAAAAAAAAAACAAAAGTAAAAATTTGTATGCGACCGAGATTCGAACCTGGACACCTGTGATTGTTGATCTTGCACCTTGGCCGCTTGACCACGATGTTTATGCCCGAGCGTGCAAATTACCGACCATATTTTGCTTGGAATAATGCAAAAGAAAACTGCATGAAAACTCGAAAACACGCGTTTTCTAAGACATAAGACTAATCTAGATCGATTTATCGCCTCCGAGAAACCACAAGAATTGCTCGTTTAAAGATATAAGTTATATCTCATACTAACCTAACCTACCTATCATTATAAGAGTAGGCTGTTAAAATATGAGCATTTTTAACTAGTTCAGTCTGGACGCAGATGAATCCATTAGGGTAAGAAACTTGATATATAGATTCATTTAAATGAAAGCCTAGTGACCCGGATAGCATATAAATATAGATTAAACTCCAGACAGGCATCCTAGACTTGGCGCGGTATAACTCGCTTACAGTCCATCCCTCCATCCATTCCACCCCCACCACCCCACCCCAATTCATCAAGTCACGTAAATTATCACAACACACAGACAGTATTGCGCAGCGAATAATATTATTGTGTTACGAATTTATAATGACTCGATTCGAATGATATCGATATCGTAACTTCACTTTCCATTTTTTTTTATCTATAAGTACTAGCGGACCCGACAGACGTTATCCTGTCTACACGTCTTTAATTTGAAAATTTCAAACTTTTTTTTTATAATTTTTTTAATGAAAATTATTATTCAAATTGTGAATCTAAACCATTCCCAGATCCCCTTGAACACACACAAAAAATATCATCAAAATCGGTCCAGTCGCTTGAGAGAAGTTCAGTGACATACACACTCACAGAAGAATTATATATATAAAGATAGGCAAAGTGAAGTAAAATGAGTAAAGATTGAATTTAAGAATAGTTGATTTGTTAAGTTAAATAGTCTAGAATCTAGATAGATTGACATAGAGAGTAAAAAAAATCACGTTTTCGCAGTAAAATGTAGTATTTAAAAATTCTATTCATTCCATGGTGACGAGCCCCTGAAATCTGTAGATTTATTTTTCAGGCTTATTTTGATTGGGTTCAGAAGCAATATGAAAATTCATAGGTATACTGTTCGCACTTGCTTGGGCACGCACGAGAACTTTTACATACTGATGAAGTATAAACTCGTCTAAACTATCAGCCCATAAAATATCTGCTATCTGAAAGGCTCCACTTACTTAAAAATAAATATAAATATGTTGGGACATTAACACCCAGCGTCATCTAGTTCCATGGTAAGCTACGAGGTTTGTGTTATGGATACCAGATAGTTGATACACTACACATATATAAATTTAAATACATAAATATTATAAACATAAACACCCATGACTGGAGTACAAACATTCGTGCTCATCACACAAAACAATAAACATAGCAAGTAGAACCAAACGTGGCGTCAAAAAATAATAATGAAAAAAAAAACTTTTTTTAAATATCAATACAAATATTTTATTTTAAACTCAAAATGCAGATAAAACCGATACGTAACCACTATACTAATTAGTATAGTGGTTACGTATCGGTAAGAACGTTATCAAATGAAATTTTATACCACAAATATAAAGCAAAATATTTATTTTTATATAGCCAACTCATTCTTATCAAACAGTAAATGAAGTGCAACCGCACGTAATATCACGGCGATTAATTTCACAATTAAATATTAAAGTGAATTTTCGCATATTTAAACAATACACGTATAATAATAACTTAGACCGGATGCTGTTTTACATGATTGTCTCTTTTTTTAATTATATTAATTGCTTTTAAATACAATTTAAAAAAAAATATCAAGTTTTCAAGTTACCATATACTACCTTCTGTATAATTTTTATCTAATTTTTTAACTCATTTCCACTACTTTCATTGATACTTTCATTAGTTAAAAAGTAATATTATTAAACCCTTAACTTCCTACTGTTAAAAGCGAGCTTCCTAACTCTCTCCTCTATAGAAGATGGCATAAATTGTAAAGCCCATCAATCCGCACTCAGATTGGGTGGTGGACTGTGGCCTGATCTCTCTCCAATTAAAGAAAGGCACGTGCCCAGCAGTGGGACGTGAAAAGGGCTGCATACAATAATCAATTATAACATAGCTTTATTGGCTGACGGAGGATACAAATGGAATTGATCATCAATGGCTATTTTTAACCCCAGAAACGGGAAGGACTTCCTGCAGGATATGGGGAAGTTTGTGGATATTTTTACTTTTTTTTTAGGATATTTTAGTGTAAAGAGAGCAAAAGCTATCTTCTTAGTTAATACATGAATATGATGTCTTTAAGCAACTTCAAATGATTATGTATACGTTCACTACAACTTTTATGTTTAGACTTTAGTTATTAGCCTTTTCGGCTTCGCCTGTTTATTCTCATTATGAAACCGGTTTTCACGTTATTTACCAATACCTATCGGTCGCTTTACTAGTTTTACCGCTCAGACCATCGTTACTGAAGCAATATCGGTTTCTTTTTGCAACCATTATATATATATATATTAGACACTACTAGCATTGCCCGCGGCTCCGCCCGCGTTCAGATGACCAAAAAGCAAATTCTTAGGTCTTACATATTAGAATACTCTTACGGTGCAGTTTTTGTATTTTTTTCTCAGAAATGAGATATTTTCCCGCGATATAAAGTATTCTATATGTTGACCCGGATAACCAGCTATTATCATACCAAGTTTCATCAAAATCTGTCCAGTGGTTTTCTCGTGATGCGGTAACAGACAGACAGACAGACAAAAATTCTAAAAACTATAGATTCGGACTCTGTATCGATAATAATGTCTATTTCAATTAGATTTACAAAAAAAAAATGTACAGATTCGACTTAGTTACAATTTTATTATATGTATAGATTAGTGTTCCGTCGAGACTGGATCTCTTGTGGTAACAGCTCGGAACATAACCGTTTTAGGTGTAATCTCACACACTAGCTTTTGCCCGCGACTCATATTATATAATACTTCGATGAAAATAATGCATATAATTCAGATGTATTTAGCTTTTTGGTAAAAGAATTTCGGTAACTAAGAAATTATCTCGGTAAATCACGACGTTTAAACCTTTAAGTATAATATAATATAATACAAGCATCTGTACGTTTTTTAAACTAAAAATTGAAACCCCCTTTTGGGCATAAAGTATTCTATCATGAGTCGAATATCGAAAATATCTTTCAAAATTTGCAAAATTAAGTTGTTTTATTAAATAATAATTACTTTTTACCCCAAAAAAAGTATATGAACCTGAAAATCAAAGTAAAATGTAATTATACCACCCCTAGAGGTAAATATTTTGCTTGATATTTATAAGATCACCCTTGAGGTATAACCTATTTATTTATTACGAAAAGAATCATTAAAATTACTTTCCAATTAGCGAAGATATCGAGTAACAAGTATACCAAAAACATTTTTACAAATGAATTATTTTTTGAAGACAATATATAGATAAAAAACAATCTTTATTTCAAATTGAATTCAATCATAATTTGTAAAACAAACCAAATACATAAAGATAATGACTTTTGCATAATTTTTCGCATAATAAAAACCTAAGCCACGTGGTCTGATCGATAAAATGAAATAACCTTCTGATATACAATAGTATACGTCACTACATAACGTTTGTCGAGATGTTTGAGACCTTTAATTCACATTATAATGCTCGAGATTCGCAGGTTCGATTCCAGCGTTGGGTAAATAATTTCTAACCAAATAAATGTTTAGTTTAGTCTGCTAACTATTATCTCTGTCTACGTTTTAATGGAAAAAAGCATAAAACCTATATAAATAAAAAATGATTTTTTTGTACCGAAAAACAAACAAATATAAGAGAGGCAGTGTATATAAATAAATGCAGTAAATTAGGATACATAGCCAGTGATTTAAATGCTCTTGATCATTCCAGCGTAATAAAGTATAAGTAAGCGAGTACTAACAGGATTATATACTGAAATCTGTAGATATATACCAAAACTTACAAGTATTGAATATAGCCTGTAGGTATTTACTAAGTGTAAGCCCTAAAGTCTGCGTAAACAAAAACATATATTATCTAAGATATGATCAAATGCTGATACTGGTGTTGGAATCCGTCCTATCTACCTGTTACGTAAAGGATCTAACATAAATAATACGTATTAGGATATATTATAATATAATATACTAGCATTGCCCGCGGCTCCGCTCGCGTTCAAATGACAAAAAATCAAATTCTTAAGTTTTACATATTAGTATACTCTTATATTGCAGTTTTTGTATATTTTCTCAGAAATGAGAAATCGCCGCCTTTACAAATTATAGTACTTAGCCATATAAAGTATGATATGTCGTCAATGCGACCACTTGTGTCAATAAATACCATGCTATTTTAGTATCATCCAAGCGAGGCATTGTGTAACAAAATCGTGAATAGGTACCATTAAGTATGTATAGTAAGTCTATCAATTAAAGGCGATAATAGTGTGACGTCTACCGTTCGTTGGTTATGAAAATTGAATATTTTTTGGTTTTCTTATATTATAAAACATTGTTTTTAGTTTATACTTTTGTTTATACGTTGTTAAAGTTATTTAATATTTTATTTATCGAGGATGTGTTTGTTTTAATGGTAGTATAAATAGTTATATAAAAAACTAAACTAGCCAGCTAATTGAACATAATTTTATTAAAAAAAAGGCTCATCAAGGCTTTACTAGCAAATGTTTTAAAGTTTGTTCTTAATAATAAATACTTGTATTGTACATAAGAAACATTGTTTATTATTTAAAAATTAAATTAAATTAAAAATAATATATTAGGTGTTCCGTCCTGTAGTAATCTTACTTGCTGTGCCAGCGGTCGCGGGTTCGAGTCCCGCTGGGGGCATTCATTTGTGTGATAAGGACGAATGTTTGTACTCCAGTCATGGGTGTTTATATTTATAATATGTATATATTTAAAGTTATATATGTGTAATGTATCAACTATCTGGTATCCATAACACAAGCCTCGTAGCTTACCATGGAACTAGGTGGTGCTGTGTGTTAATGTCCCAACATATTTATTTATCTGGCCTGGCCTCCCTTCAATACGAGGGGGATCAGGCCATAGTCCATCACGCTGGCTCAGTGCGGTTTGGGGGACTTCATGTCTTTCGAAAACATGCTAGTTTTCTCAGACAATCAGGTAGGTACTCTCACGATGTTTTTCTTCGCCATAAGGCAAGCGGTAATCATGTTGGAAAATGATTCGAACGTAAAAAAAATTAAGAGGTGCGTGACCCGAGATTTGAACCCGTTTCACTAGGTTCTTCAAGCGAGCGCGTTACCACTGGGCTACCAATAGGCATAATATACTAATCTTAAATTAAATTAATACCTCATTATTCACCATATCGCACAAAAAAGTGTAATTAAAACATAGGAAACTAACGATCGAAACCGTATATTTTTTTTAATTCCGACAATTGGGCAGCGTCACACTGTTATGCCACTGAGACAATACAGTTAGACTTTGTTGATGAAAAATGAATCATATTTGTGATATTAATCATGTTATAGTACAAATCAAATAAAATGGTCACTGACTTTAAAATCAGTTTAAATGTCATTATTACCATTTTAGGGGTGAAATTTATTCTTAAAGTTACCATTCGGGTGGTCACGAAGGGTAAAACTCATTCATTAATAGTTAATAGAATCATAAAAATCAATATCCAACTGGCGAAGGGATGCGGGAACATAGATAAAAATATATAGGTTCAACTGAATTGAGTAGATACCTAGCTTCTCAAGTATTTATTCAATATTGATATTAGATTATTCTGTATCATCCTATGGTATGTCAAAAACATTACCAACCAATTTTTTTTACTTTATTTATATCCATACTATACTATAATAGTATAAATGTGAAAGTGTGTTTGTTTGTCCTTCTTTCACGTCGAAACGGAGTTACGGATTGGCACGATAGTGGGAGGACTGGAGAGTGACGTAGGCTACTTTTTACTGCGGGAGATTATTTAGATCCCACGGGAAAACATGTTATAATAAAATCCAAAAAAAAATTATGATCAGAATTACTTGAAACTAGGTATTAATACTCTTCAATTAAATTAAATAAATACGTGTTTTAGAATTTTTCGAAATTTTTCCTATAAAGGAGTAAAATAGGGGATGAAAGTTTGTATGAAACTACTTTTTTAGAGATTTTTTGTAGTTTTAGCGCTAGCGAAGCCGCGGGTTCTGCTAGTAAGTAATAAATAAAAAATATAGGTATATATTCTATCTATAATTAATAAATTTTGGAGAAGATCACATCATTGTCAGGGGTATATTATCTTCTACATAATCAAAATAAATCATTAAACATATAATTGCTATTAATTAGCACACAAATGTTTTTTTTTTAAATTAAAAAAAAAAGAAAAGAATAACTGCGATGATGGCTGTGTTCTATGGAGGCTTAGATAAGTCATATTGTTACGTTTTCAATCAAATAATTTCTGATTCAATGTATTTTTTTTAATTTAATAATACATTCTTGATAATTTTTTTATTCCACAAAAATATTTCGCCAAACTGTAACATACAAAATTAATATATCAATAGTTGATCTCACCTCATTCCCGTAAGCTAGTAGATGATGTACGGTAATCAATGCTTTGTACACCACCACCCAGTTGGTGTTCTGTGTGCGCTCGACCAACAGGTTCGCTAGCTGCGGTATTGACACGTTCGGCTCGTTTGTGCAGTGGACTAAATCTGCGAACAAATTAAAATTTACATTAGATATTAATTAGACATTAGTATAGAATTACCTATACGCATATCTAATTTTGTGTTATATTTTGTTTAAGAGTGAGACTGCTTTATACAAGAGTACCTTGATTTATTCTAGTTTGTGTTGACCATAAATGTTATAAATGCACCTTGAAATATTGCACTTTTACCTTCCGATGGGAATCAGTAATTAAATAACCTATACAATAATAAAATTGTAACTGAGTCGAATCTGTACATTAAACATTTTATTATCGACTTTATTATCGAGATTTATATTATATAGATACAGAGACCGAATCTATAGATTTTAGAATTTTAGTCTGTCTGTTACCGCATATATCTCATCTTTGAGAAATGTATACTAAATATTAAAACATAAGTATAAACACGTTTATCGAATTAAGGTAGTGCCACATAGAAAGTAGAAAACCGTTTTTTCTTTTACCATAAAATCTCATACAATGGAAAACAAAATAAAATTGAAACTTCGTGTAATATCTATCGTGTAGTAACTTTATTTTAATATTCTACCTTAAGACTTCTGCTATAAGAGCTTAGCAAAGTCAACATTATGTTATTGCTTTTGCTACTTCAAAGGATAAGTGCAAAAAAATCACCTGACCTGACCCTCTCGTATTGAGGCTCGTGCTCAGCAGTGGACATATTTTATCCGAATATTTATATATTTTTATCCTGGAATATAGATTTCCGCGATAAATATATCCTATGTCCTTCCCAGGGTCTCAAACTATCTTCTTACCAAATTTCATCTAAATCGGTTTCATAGATCCAGAGATTACCCCCTACAACGTCACAAACGTACAATTCACAAACTCATAAACTTTACCTCTTTATAATATTAGTATAGATATACCTATATTCGGTGTTATATAATCTATACTAATATTACAAAGAGGCAGTTTTTTGTGAGATAGATTTGTTTTTGTCTAGGGACGAACCCGAAGGGCTAGTAATATATAAAAATCGTACACGCTACTTTACTAAGAGGGTAGAGTGGCAGAGAAAATGTGACATCACACTAGATTATGATTTGTTAGGTAGGTGCCAATTTCGTCTATAGTGGCGAGTATGTTGGTAGACGACAATGTATGGAATATAGTAACCTGTTTTTGTGAGACAGCCCTTATTAAGAAGGAGATTTCAGAACGAGAACGAGAGAGAGGGCCGATCCCGCTCGACGAAGACGAAAGAACGTTGGTAATACACATTCCCATACATTAACGTCATAGTTCTTAAATGGAAATTGGACCATTGAAGCATCTCGAGGCAGTGGTAGCCCAGTGGCAACACGCTCGCTTTTGAAACCGAGTGAAGAGGGTTCAAATCCCGGGCCTCGCACCTCTGATATTTTCATGTGCGAATCATTTCCAACATGATTACCATTTGTCTTAACGGTGAAGGAAAACATCGTGAGGAAACCTGCATGTCTGAGAGAACCTAGCAAGTTTTCGAAAAACATGTAAAGTCCACCAACCCGCACTTGGCCAGTGTGGTGGACTATGGCCTGATCCCCCTCGTATTGAAGGGAGGCCCGTGCCCAGCAGTGGGACGTTAAAAAAGGGCTGAATACAAGCATCTCTAACTCCTAGGGGACTGTTGAGTTAAGTTAGAAACGTGCTTAATGTAGCATCGCGTAGGGAGAGTACCGGTGCGTTCTTATAGAGATCCCGGTGCTTTCTGTTATACGCAGTAGATGGTAACCGAGGGGGTTTTAGTAGGTAAAAACCCTACATATCCTAACCATCTCGTACGTTGGTTGGATATCTTCAGAAGATTTCCCACTCGTTAAATTAAAAAAAAGGTAGGTGCATATTAGGTGTAAATTATCTTAAGAAACCTTTCGTCATATAAAATGAAAAATGCAAATTGCCGATGCGATTTAGCAACTTACTTTATGCATTAAACGTATAAGGTAGCACTAATGCAATAATACATAAAAAGCTGGCTCCGCTTCAAATTTAGCAGAGTCCAAAAACCGTTTGCATCATATCTTCTTACAAAATGAATGGATTTTTAACATTTATGATAGTGAAGAGAGAATATATTAAAGATTTATCAACCGACTTCAAAAAGGAGGAGGTTCTCAATTCGACTGTATGTTTTTTTTTTTTTTTATGTTTGTTACCTCAGAACTCCGTCACTTATTAACCGATTTGGACAATTTTTGTTTTGTTTGAAAGGGTATACTTCCAGATTGGTCCCATTTAAATTTCAAAGAAAAATACCACCCCTAAGGGTGGAAAAACAACTAATGATGAATTTAACCTACTTCTAATTGTCATATTGACTTGAAACTTTGCAAGTATTTCTCCGTTGATAGTACAGTGGTTCGGTGTTGTTGACATGATCTGATGGCAAGGCCAGAAGGTAGATAGGTGGAACTCTTCAACGGCTAATAGTAGATACTTTGAGTTTGGGCTTATTATGTTTGATTTGACAAGCCTAACACGTTAGAATCCTTACTTTGCTACTACTGTCTACACTAAAAAGGGAAAAATAAAAACTTTTTAACAAAAAAATAAAAACCGACTTCAAACAAAAGCACTAAAAAGTAAAAAATAACTGATTGGTAGTTTTCATTTACTATACATACCTAATCAAATATTTTCAAAGTCGGTGTGCTTTGGCTAAGTGATTAAAGCCTACCTATTAAAGCCAGCCCATACAAAGCAAAGCACACCGACTTCGAAAATATTTGATTAGGTATGTATAGTAAATGAAAACTACCAATCAGTTATTTTTTACTTTTTAGTACTTTTGTTTGAAGTCGGTTTTTATTTTTTTGTTAAAAAGTTTTTATTTTAAGCAAAATCATTGGGGTTTAGATACATTCTATCCACAAAAGATTCGATAAAAGATCAAATGAAGGAATATTTATTTAAAAAAAAAAACAAAAATTCCATGTTACCTGTTAAAATATTGTAACAACTAATAATTAAATGTTAAAATCTTTAACATTTCAAGTTAAAAACAGCTTACTTTCGGTCCTAACAATAACCTGATAATCTATAATCCCATTAATATTATAAATGCGAAAGTGTGGATGGATGGATGTTTGTTACTCAATCACGCCAGAGCGGCTTAACGAATCTGGATGAAATTAGGCACAGAGATAGATTATAATCTGGAGTAACACTTAACACTTTTTATCCCGGAAAAATGTACGGTTCCCGCGGGGTAGATTTGTTTTTGTTTTTCTCCAAGGACGAAGTGAGTTGCTAGTTTATGAACATATCGAGACTGAAACTTCGCTAGTCTTGTAACGATATTCAATTCGTCCGACTTTGAACTGGCACCTATTGCCACGTGTGATACGATGTAACAATGTACAAGGCATTGTATACATATGCATATTATACTAATTATAATTTTAAATGCTTAGGTAAAATTTCACTTATTAAAATATACAAGAAGAGTGACAGTGATATAACATATGTTTTATTGTGTGATAAAATGATATTATGTAACTAAATGATAATAATTTTATAAGGTTTATTTACATCAATACCTAGATATAATAAAATTGTAACTAAACCGAATCTGTTCATGAAATATTTTTTGGAAAATATTATTGAAATAGAAATTATTATCGATACAGAGGCCGAATCTATAGTTTTTATAATTTTTGTCTGTCTGTTACCGCATCACAGAAAAACTACTGGTCGGATTTTGATGAAATTTGGTATAATGTTAGCTGGTTATCCGGGTCAACATATAGGATACTTTTTACCGCTGGAAAATATCTTATTTCTGAAAAAAAAACCGCAATGTAAGAGTATACTATTATGTAAAACCTAAGAATTTGGTTTTTGGTCATCTGAACGCGGGCGGAGCCGCGGGCAATGCTAGTTATTAAATAATTGTAAAATTATTGTGCAATTTGTATCTCTAAATTAATAAAAGAAAATGAATAAAAAGTTCAATTTTAAATATAATGCTACAAATCCATACATCATAATTAATGTGAAAGTTTCTGAGTTTGGATGGATGTTTGTTACTCTATCAATTCACGCCAGAACGGTTGAACGGATCTGAATGAAATTTGGCACAGATATAGATTATAGTCTGGAAGAGCACATATGCTACTTTTTATCCCGGATAAATGTACGGTTTCCGTGGGATAGATTTGTTTTTGTTTTTCAAGAGGGACGAAGAAGCGAAGCGAGGGAGAGTCGCTAGTATTACAAACGCAAAAGTTTGTATCGGTGTATGGATGGATGTTTGTTACTCTTTTACACGAAAACTACGGTACGTATTTTGACGAAACTTTAAATTAATATAGCTTATAAATCAGAGTAGCACGTAAGCTATAATTTTTAGAGATATAGTTACCTATACATAATTATCATACGCAGGCGGAGCCGCGGGATAGCGCTAGTTATTATTAAAGAAGTATATAATAGAATAATCAGGTTGTTTGCCTGTTCTATCCGAATTAGGGCTGATCTACACTATTACTACACTACAGACCATTTTCGGTCCGATGTCGGCCTAGAAATTTATTTTTGTACAATCAAGGTAGCTGGAGTGTGATTCAAACGGAACTTGAGTGTTACTGCTAATGTAAATGCATTCATTGTTTCTTATTATCCTACTTTGTATTCAGCCCTATACAACATCCCACTGCTGGAGTGGGCCTTCTTTCCACGCTGTCCAAGTGCAGGTTGGTGGACTTCACATGTCTGTCGAATACTTGCTAGGTCCTCTCAGACATGCAGGTTTCCTCACGATGTTTTCCTTCACCATAATACAAGTGGGAGTCATGTTGAAAATGATTCGCTCATGAAAAAATTAGAAGACAATCTATACTACTTTACCAGATCGATATCGGAGCGAGAACGAACCGTGATCGGCAATACAGTGTGGATCGGTCCTTAAATGGCAGGTGGGAACTCAAGGCGCTTCTAGCGTTTAGTACATATTGGTTACACTTTGCTACATTATCGCCCGACGGAAGT